GCAAATGGTAGGATTTGTTTTCTTCTTATGACTGAATAATACTCCATTGTGTATACATACTACATCTTCTTTATCCATTCATCTACTGATGGACACTTAGGTTGCTTCCATTTCTTGGCTATTGTAAATAGTGCTGTGATAAACATAGGGGTGCATACGTCTTTTTTAAACTGGGCTCCTGCATTCCTAGGGTAAATTCTTAGGAGTAGAATTCCTGGAACAAATGGTATTTCTATTGTGAGTTTTTTGAGGAACCTCCAGACTGCTTTCCACAATGGTTGAACTAGTTTTTATTCCTACCAGCAGTGTGGGAGGGTTCCCCTTTCTCCGCATCCTCGCCAGCATTTGTTGTTCCTACTCTTTTCTGTGTTGGCCATTCTAACTGGCATGAGGTGATAACTCGTTGTGGTTTTAATTTGCATTTCACTGATAATTAGCGATGTGGAGCATCTTTTCATGTGTCTGTTGGCCATCTGAATTTCTTCTTTGGAAAATTGTCTGTTCATATCCTCTACCCATTTTTTATTCGGTTATTTGCTTTCTGGGTGTTAAGGCATATGAGTTCTTTATATATTTTGAATGTTAACCCCTTGTCAGATCTATCATTTACAAACATATCCTCTCATACTGTAGGATGCCTTTTGTTCTGATCATAGTATCCTTTGCTGTAAAGAAGCTTTTTAGCATGGTGTAGTCCCATTTGTTCATTTTTTATTTTGTTTCCCTTGCCAGAGGAGATGCATTCAGGAAAAAGTTGCTCGTGTTTATATTTAACAGATTTTTGCCTATGTTTTCTTCTAAGAGTTTTATCGTTTCAGGACTTATATTCGGGTCTTTGATCCATTTTGAGTTTAATTTTGTGTATGGGGTTGGACAATAATCCAGTTTTATTCTCTTACATCTAGCTGTCCAGTTTTGCTAACACCAGCTGTTGAAGAGGCTGTCATTTCCCCATTAAATATCCATGGCTCCTTTATCGCATATTAGTTGACCATATATGGTTGGTTATATCTGGGCTCTCTACTCTGTTCCATTGGTCTATGGGTCTCTTCTTGTGCCAATACCAAATTGTCTTGATTACTGCAGCTTTGTTGTAGAGCTTGAAGTTGGGAAGCGAGACCTCCCCTGCTTTATTCTTCCTTCTCTGGATTGTTTTGGCTATTAGGGATCTTTTGTGGTTCCATATGAATTTTAGAATTATTTGCTCTAGATCACTGAAGAATGCTGTTGGTATTCTGATAGGGATTGCACTGAATCTGTATATTGCTTTAGAAAGGATGGCCATTTTGACAATATTAAGTATTCCTATCCATGCGCATGGGATGAATTTCCATTTATTAGTGTCCTCTTTAATTTCTCTTAAGAGTGTCCCATAGTTTTCAGGGTATAGGTCTTTCACTTCCTTGGTTAGGTTTATTCCTAGGTATTTTATTCTTTTTGATGCAATTGTGAATGAAATAGTTTTCATGATTTCTCTTTCTGCTAGTTCATCATTAGTGTATAGGAATGCAACAGATTTCTGTGTTTTAATTTTATATCCCACAACTTTGCTGAATTCAGATATTAGATCTAGTAGTTTTGGAGTGGATTCTTTAGGGTTTTTTATGTCCAATATCATGTCATCTGCAAACAGGGACAGTTTAACTTCTTCCTTGCCAATCTGGATGCCTTCTATTTCCTTGTTTTGTCTGATTGCCATGGCTAGGACCTCCAGAACTATGTTGAATAAAAGTGGGGAGAGTGGGCATCCTTGTCTTGTTCCCAATCTTAAAGGAAAAGCTTTCAGCTTCTTGGTGTTAAGTATAGTGTTGGCTGTGGGCTTGTCATATATGGCCTTTATTATGTTGAGGTACTTGCCCTTTATACCCATTTTGTTGAGAGTTTGAGAGTTTTTATCATGAATGCATGTTGAATTTTGTCAAATGCTTTTTCAGCATCTATGGAGATGATCATGTGGTTTTTATCCTTCTTTTTGAGAATGTGGTGGATGATGTTGATGGATTTTCAAATGTTGTACCATCCTTGCATCCCTGGGATGAATCCCACTTGATAAAAATGGATGATCTTTTTGAAGTATTTTTGAATTTGGTTTGCTAATATTTTGTTGAGTATTTTTGCATCTATGTTCATCAGGGATATTGCTCTGTAATTTTCTTTTTTGTGTTGTCTTTGCGTGGTTTTGGTATTAGAGTGATGTTGGCTTCGTAGAAAGAGTTTGGAAGTATTCCCTTCTGTTCTACTTTTGGAAAACTTTAAAGAGGATGGGTGTTAGGTCTTCACTAAATTTTTGATAAAATTCTGCAGTGAAACCATCTGGTCCAAGAGTTTTGTTCTCAGGTAGTTTTTTGATTACCAATTCAATTTCCTTGCTGGTAATTGGTCTATTCAGACATTCTGTTTCTTCCTGGGTCCACTTTGGAAACTTGTATTTTTCTAGAAAGTTGCCCATTTCTTCTTGGTTATCCAGTTTGTTAGCAAATAATTTTTCATAGTATTCTCTCATAATTTTTTGTATTTCTGTGGTGTCTGTAGTGATTTTTCCTTTCTCATTTCTGATTGTTTATGTGTGTAGATTCTCTTTTATTCTTGATCAGTCTGGAAAGGGGTTTATCTATTTTGTTTATTTTCTTGAAGAACCAGCTCCTGCTTTCACTGATCCTTTCTATTGTTTTATTCTTCTTGATTTTATTTATTTCTGCTCTAATCTTTATCATGTCGCTCCTTCTACTGACTTTGGGCCTCATTTCTTCGTCCTTTTACAGTTTTGTTAATTGTGAGTTTAGACTGTTCATTAGGGATTGTTCTTTCCTGAGAAAGGCCTGTATTGCAGTATACTTCCCTCATAGCACAGCCTTCGCTGGATCCCACAGATTTTTGCAGTGTTAAATTATTGTTGTCATTTGTCTCCATATATTGCTTGATCTCTGTTTTTATTTGGTCATTGATCCATTGATTATTTAGGAGCATGTTATTAAGCCTCCATGTGTGTGGGGGCTTTTTTGTTTCCTTTGTGTAATTTCTAGTTTCATACCTTTGTTATCTGAGAAGCTGGTTGGTACAATTTCAATCTTTTTGAATTTACTGAGGTTCTTTTTGTGGCATAGTATATGATCTATTCTGGAAAATGTTCCACGTGCACTTGAGAAGAATGTGTATCCTGTTGCTTTTGGATGGAGTGTTCTGCAGATGTCTGTTAGGTCTATCTGTTCTAATATATTGTTCAGTGCCTCTGTCTCTTTACTTATTTTCTGTCTAGTTGACCTGTCCTTTAGAGTGAGTGGTGTGTGAAATCTCCTAAAATGAATGCATCACATTCTATTTCCCCCTTTAATTCTGTAAGTATTTGTTTCACATATGCAGGTGATCCTGTGTTGGGTGCATAGATATTTATAATAGTTATATCCTGTTGTTGGACTGACCCCTAATCATTATGTAATGTCCTTCTTTGTCTCTTATTACTTTCTTTGTTTTGAAGTCTATTTTGTATGATACAAGTACTGAGGTCCTCTGCATTTTCTAATACATTTTAGAATGAGTTTCTCCATTTCCTTTTTTTTTAAATGTCTGCAAAGTTTATGATTGGCATTGAGTTCAAGCTATAGATTCATTTGGTGAGAAATGGCATCTTAACAATATTAAGTCTTCTATGAACACAGAATCTCCCTCCATTTATTAAGGCCTTCTTTAATTATCTTCAATAATGTATTACCATTTTCAGTGAAGAGTTTTTTTCTACTTTGTTGGTAAATTTATTTTAAAACAACCAACAAACAAATAACCCAATTAAAAAATGGGCAGAGGATATGAACAGACAATTCTCCAGAGAAGAAGTTCAGATGGCCAACAGGCACATGAAAAGATGCTCCACATCACTAATTACCAGGGAAATGCAAATTAAAACCTCAGTGAGATATCACCTCACACCAGTTAGGATGCCCCACATAGAAAAGAATAGGAACAACAAATGTTGGCAAGGATGTGAAGAAAGGGGAACCCTCCTACACTGCTGGTGGGAATGTAAATTAGTTCAACCATTGTGGAATGCAATCTGGAGGTTCCTCAAAAAACTCAAAATAGAAATACCATTTGATCCAGGAATTCCACTCCTAGGAATTTTTCCTAAGAATGCAGGAGCCCAGTTTAAAAAAGACATATGCACCCCTATGTTTATCACAGCACTATTTACAATAGCCAAGAAATGGAAGCAAGCAGCCTAAGTGTCCATCAGTAGATGAATGGATAAAGATATAGTATATATACAAAATGGAATATTATTCTGCCATAAGACGAAAACAAATCCTACCATTTGCAACAACATGGACGGAAGTAAAGGGTATTATGCTCAGTGAAATAAGGCAGGTGGAGAAAGACAAGTACCAAGTGATTTCCCTCATTTGTGGAATATAACAACAAAGCAAAACTGAAGGAATGAAATAGCAGCAGACTCATAGAGTCCAAGAAGGGCCTAGTGGTTACCAAAGGGAGGGGTGGGGGAGGTCAGGTGGGGAGGGAGGGAGAAGGGGATTGAGGGGTATTATGATTGGCACACATGGTGTGGGGGAGATCATGGGGAAGACAATGTAGCACAGAGAAGACAAGTAGTGACTCTGTAGCATCTTACTATACTGATGGACAGTGACTGTACTGGGGTATGGGGGGGACTCGATATTATGGGTGAATGTAGTAACCACATTGTTTTTCATGTGAAACCTTCATAAGAGTCTGTATCAATAGTATCTTAATTTAAAAAATTATAGTAAAAACTTTATTTCTAAGTATCTACATTATTATTTTGTTAATTTCATTTCCCAAATTTTGTTGTTCATATATAAAGGAACAGATTTATCCATATTGGTTTTGATTTCTGTGACCCTGCTAGGATCTCCAGGATAATGATGAATAAAATAGTAAGTGCAAACAACCTTGCCATGCTTGCAGTTTTAGAAGAAAAGTGTTAAGTATGATTTTAGCTGTACTTTTCATTAATGCTCTTTATCAAAATGAGGAAATTCCTTTATATTAAAACTCTGCTGCTTCTTCCACCGCTACCAGTGCTGCTTGTGTGCTCGTTCAGTGCGGACGACTTCATTGAAGCAGCAGCTGAGGTGACTCACGCACCTACCGTGGCCGACAAAAGTCAAGGAAGCAGTCAAGACTGAGAACAAGGATCATATTAATGTGAAGGTGGAAGGTCAGGATGGTTCTGTTATGCAGTTTAAGATTAACAGTCATACAGCACTTTGTACAACTAATGAAAGCCTATTGTGAATGACAGGGTTTGTCAATGAGGCAGATCAGACTCCTATTTGATGGGCAGCCAATCAGTGAAACAGATACACCTGCACAGTTGGAAATGGAGGATGAAAATACAATTGATGTGTTCCAGCCACACACAGGAAGTGTCTACTAAAAAGGGAACCTGCTACTTTACTTCAGAACTCTGTTCCAACAGACCAAGAAGACATTTACTATTAGAAAACTACAATTTGGTTCCTCCACATCCTGACTACTACAATATAGTTTTCTCTATTCTTTATTTTCCCTTTCCCCATTCCTTTATTGTATACAAAGTAACTGTGTATGTGCACAAGCATACTGCATTTTTTAAAATTAGATGTCCAATAGTATGTTTGATTGACATGAAATGGAGATGGGATGGGGAAAAATACTGGCTCTGTGAAAATACCCCTTTTCTCTATTAGGGCATGCTCATCCAGCTCTTGTCTTTATATTCCAGTAGGTTATTTTGCTCTCACTGTTTAACAACAACAACAAAAAGAACAACATAAAAAATTTTGCATATCTTGCTCAATCGGAGAATTTTAATGTTTTTCATTTATCATTGTAAAACCAAGGACAGTTTTATAACTTTTTTGTACATAGCTGTTACATGTAGGGCAATCTGTCTTTAAGTAGGGATAAATTACTCTAAAAGAAATGAATCCTAGATAGTTTTCCCTTCAAGTGTCTTGTTGTTTAAATAAACTTCTTGGTTAAAATGGAAAAGAAAAGCAAGTTTCTCTTGCTGAGAACCTTGGTAGTGAATTTTGTCAAACACTCCTTTCAATATCTATTGAGATGATTATATATATTTTCTACTTTATTCTGTTACTATGGTTAAACCAACACATTCCTAGGACAAATTCTCAGAGAATGCATATTGATACTTAGAATATTCATTGTTTCTTGGCTTCTCCCCTAAGAAATAGAAAGCTTCTAGCTTCAGAGCTCTTACTTCCATCCCAGACTTGCCAGATGGGCTCTAATATCACCAGAATTCTTCTGAAGTCTTGGGGTGGTGGGGGAATAGAGAATGTTGCCTTAGTACAAATGAAACAGCAATAGGGTTTAAGAGTGACATAGAAAGTAGGCTGAATTTGTAGTCTATGTTTTCTGCTGCTTCTACTGTTCTCTGACTTAGCACATTTGAGTTCAAAGCACTGGGAAGCAATATTCTGGCTTTCTTTAGTCTTTCATCCTAGGGTCTCAAATTTTTTAAAAAGGAGGTAGCAATGGTGCCTGATCAACTTTTTAGTTCAAGGGATCGAAAATGTCCCACGTCTCTGATTCTACCCTGTTTTCCAACCTTAATTCCTAAACACTAGATACAGTATTCCAAAAATTTACATCCTTTACATCCTTAGAACCTTACCCCCCACCCCTATTTTGAGAGAAATCTTCTGCATCGTGGATGATTTGTTGCCCTTGTCTAGCTTGGATTAATACTTATTCCATAGGCACACACCTGATCATCTACATTTGCCCTCTTACAGCACTAAACTATGTTTTCTACCTTTATCTTGCATCTACCTACCACTTCAGCATTTTATTAAAAATAATAGTAATAATAATAATAATAATAAGGGAGAAATGTGGGATTCACATATAAATCAAGTATAAATATCAAACAAATATTCATATTTGACCTGATTGTTTATAGTTCATAATGCGTGATCAAAACCGAAAGTTTCTGTGATGACTGCCCTTGCACTGTTCACCATGTAAGAACTTATTCACTATGTAAGAATTTGTTCACCATGTAAGAACTTGCTCGTTATGCTTCAGAAGATTGGAGACTGTTGAGAATTAGGCTTGGGGTTGATTAATGATTGTGCATTGAGTCCCCTATACAGAATTTTATTGTTGTTAACAACCATTTGATCAATAAATATGAGAGATGCCCTCTCAAAAAAAAATTTTTTTTTCATCCTTTACACAGACTTCCAAAACAGGTGGCCATTTTTTATTTTATTATTTTATAGAGTCCACAGCAACCCTATGATTTTGTTCATGAGTGCCCTAGGTCATGCAGGGCAAAGGGCTGGGTAAAGACCAGAAGTAAATTAATGGATGTTTTCTGACCAGAGCCTCATGTTTATTTTAAGGACTTTTATCAAAGGAGGGAGACTTATTTATCCCTATCCATAGCCATAGCAAGTAGGACATTTAATCTCAGAGGGCTGAGGCATACTATAATCAACTTTAGCTCCTCAAATATGAACTGTCTCATCTACTCCCATCTATGCTGTAAGACTATGTTCTCTGAAAATAGCCAACATATCACTCTCTCATCCTCCTCCCAAATTAACTTTACCAACTATAAGAAAAGGATTAACAAACAGCAGGAACATTGCTTATGGTAAAAATGAATCCTGGTTTATAAATTGCATCTGGATGGGAGGACTCTGAATGGACTATATATCTGATGGAAGGCCATAGCTTTGAGCTTCTCTGACTGTGGACTCTTGGAATTAGGCATGTCTCTTAAAAGGGCCCTTTTAATTATACCTACCAACTTGCTACAAAAGATATTAGCTCTTGTGCAGCATGGAGATTCTAAGTTAAGCTAATCCCTGCTTCTAACTATGTGGAACTTGTCTCTGAGTACCCAAGTTGTCACCTGGTAGTACAGGTTATAGAATAGTACCTGGGTTGCTGTGAGGACTCTAGTCAAAGAGGAGTGCTCTGCTGACATGCTGTGCTTCCTGTATAGTATCTTGTGAATTTAATGCTAAATCTGGCCTTCATGTCAGGTGGATATGAATATCTGATTGAGCCTAAGTAGACACCTTGGTAATCTTTGCAACAACTGGAAGTATACAGGAACTTTTCAGTTGTCTCATAATGTCTGAGTTTCTCCAGTAGTGACTGGCTATAAAATGCTTCAGTTGAACCTGATCTTCTGAGCTGTATTCATCAGGACATTTTCATTTTTGCAGGAATCTTTTTTTTTAATCTTGTTGGTGTGTATTCAGAAATTCAACAAGAATCCCAAAGATGGTCGTACTACCAAATACTGAGGTTGCTATATAGATGGAGGCACTCATTGTTTTGAAATCATATATACTTTCTAATTCTGGATGTAGTAAACTTGTAATTAAAAGGCTTTGTTTCCTCAACTCTAAAGCCTATCACTCCCACAACATACCAGTGATTTTTCAAAAGGCAATTCAAAATTCCCTTGCCTATTCTCTGGTACTGCACCTCTGTAGAATGCATCTATACATTTAACATCAATAAAAGGCCCCTGCCTAAGAGCTAGTCCCAAAATATGTTTCCAGTTAGCACTGAATTTTGCCTCAGATAGAACAGGGTAGCGATTTGTGATAAGTCCAAGTACAGATACTATAGATTTGTATATAGATACAATAGATACTATTAATTTGTAAAACATATAGCAAAGACTATACTTTCAAAATAAATTATTATAAATTTATTTTTAAAATAAAGAGAAGATAGAGTAACACTGACTCATCTCACATGAAGTGAGTGAATATATTGTTTTATTTTTAAAGTTAATAGAGAAATATAGGTTCACTTTCATTTATCCATCTGGCTTATTTATTTTATAGGATACTATTTTAAAATGAAAGAGGATGAATAACTTCCTATTAAATGTGACAGCAAATTGTCAACAAATATTTATTGACTGATTAATACAAAGAGGTTCTAACCACTTACCATCTTAGTAGTTTGAATGGAAGCTGCTAAATATAAGGATACATAAAACATACACAAATTCAAAAAAGATATATTTTATCAATTACTACTGATTTAACAGCAATTTTCCATAAGAAATCACTGACTAAATGAAGAGCCTCTAGGTGTCTATCTGAGGTGTAACAAAATAACTAACAGTCTGGTCCTTCAAGAAGTTTGCAACTTAGTTGGAGAAATAATATACCCATACATAATGCAATTGCATTTTATGTATTTATATTATAATATAAAGATATAACTAACAGAGGCAAAATGCAAAATAATGAATCTTTTCTCCATAAACATTCTGTCCATAATTTCAAAGCAGCAAGGAAGAGTGAATGCAAGCTGTGTTTAAGTTACTGCCATTTTAGCTGGTAAATAAAAATACCCATCATACTTTATTTGTACCATGTTTATAAAACATTCACTTAATTACTCTTAAGCTATTATTTTAACATTACCATTAATTAATCTTAAATATTTTTTTATATTATCTTAAAACTACTTTACTCGAACATTTTCGAGTGGTGGTGTTGGTGCTTAAAAAAAAAAATCCTATAAGCCAGTACCTTGGGTATAGAATTTATATGTGCTAAAAAATGCAACTAAGGAAGCCAAATAACTGCCATAACATGTGTGCTATTAATATAGTAACTGTACTTTGCAAATATAATAGAAAACACTGAGGAAAAAATGTAACATCAAAGCAAAAACAGGTTACCATGATTGTGGATTTATCTACTTAGAACATGCATCTAATCACTTACTGTCCTACCTCTGTTCCTGCCACACACACTTTTTACATTTATTATTGGTCTTGAATTATTTAATATTTGAATTATGTGTCCCCTCCAGATCACATTTCTCCCATAAAACAGGACCACCCTACCCTGTAAAAGGTAGTATAGGATTAAAGGTTCAATGAATGGAACAAGATAATAAGCCAAAGTGATCGATATGGGCTATAATAGGAGAGGGAAGCCCCATTCATTGATTTGTGGCTTTTCAGTTAACATATATTAAATTCCCAATATGTTTCAGACAATGTGCTAGAGGCTAGGGATTAAAAAAAAAATGATTAGAATATATTCTCTACCTTGAAAGAATTTCATAAACAGGGAAAATAAATATATAAATAAATAATAACACAAAGTTTAGCATTCCAAAGAAACCTTGGATTCTCACAGTTGCATTAAAACAACTTTTTCAATTAGGGTCAGAGAATTTTAGTCTATCTAAAAAGGAAGTTACTCCTGCAGGAATTTTAGGGAATAAGGTATATGTGGACATTTAAGCAATAAGGGTTACTATGGCCTGAGTCATGTTTTGTGTTCCCCCATAATTCATATATTTCAATCCTAATTCTCAGTGTGAAGGCATTAGGAGGTGGAGGCCTTTGAGAGGGGATTACATCATTAGGGCTAATGT